ACCCAAAAGCTGCCTCTAAGGAGCTGCCTCAGCAGATGCTAAGCAGCTCTGTGGGCTTTGGGACTTGCAGATCCTCAGTGGTGCCACCAGCTTCAGGCGGTCTGCTTCCTCTTTGCCCCACTGTCTGCGCCAACACTGCTGGCGTGCTCTGTGATCTTGGAATGTCCAGATTGTTAAATCTGATTGCAAATGAAGTGGACATGTTTCCTGGGCATGGTGATATGTACCCATAGTCCTAGCTACTTGGAAGGCTGAAGCAGGAGGATCTTTGAGCCCAGAAATTCAAGACCAGCCTGAGCAATGTAGCATGTAGGTCATGTTTAAATTTTTTTTTTTTTTTTGTGTATGTGAAATCAGCAATGGGTATGTGTGCATGTAGGGGTGACTGGGAGGTTAAAAATTAAAATTAAACTCCAATAAATGAGATATCCATCTTATTATGTTAGGGAATGGAGAAAAGATTCATTCTACCTAGGAAGAAGCTACCTTTCCTTGGGTATCTTCTGTGGTCCAGGCACAGAGCTTTTGTATTTATTATTATTATTAGTAGTAGTAGTACTAGTACCGGGGATTGAACTCGGGTCCTTGCGCTTGCGAGGCAGGCCACCGAACCACTGAGCTAAATCTCCAGCCCATATATATTATTATTTATTCCTTACTACATCCTAGGGAGACACTTGTCATCTTTTTTGTAAAATCAACCATTCAGTGGTTAAGTAATTTTCTCAGATTGGTACAATTGTGACTGAGCTGGGATATGTAACCCCAGGAAGTAGTTATTTTCCTGAGTTTAAAAACTGTTTTAGTAGGGTCAGGGATTTGGCTCAGTGGTGCCGCCACTTGCCTCCCAAGTGGAAAGGTCCTGAGTTTGATCCTCAGTACAAAAAAAAAAAACCCAAAAACCCAAAACAAACAAAAAAAACTGTTTTAGCAAAAGTTAGTTTTTTAGCCAATAAATAATAAGTAGATATCAAATGTCAATATAACATGTAGCAAATGTCAACAAGTATTGCTGTGTGAATAATGATAAAACCAGAACTGAGTTTACAAAAAGTTCTTCACTATCTTGAGTCCTTCTCAAGTACTTGGAATTTAAAATTTCTTGCTGGGAATCACCTATGGCCTTAATCATACTAGACAAGTGCCTTGTCAATTTATACCCTTTCCAAAACACTCTGAAAATTTTGGGGGTGGGGTGGAATAAACTGCTGGGTAATTTCTGCTAATTTGTTATTAAAACACTAATTCTGAGCTAAATCAAAGAAATGGATTCTTGAAAATCCTATGGCTATGTGCAATTTCTTGCTGGGAATCACCTATGGCCTTAATCATACTAGACAAGTGCCTTGTCAATTTATACCCTTTCCAAAACACTCTGAAAATTTTGGGGGTGGGGTGGAATAAACTGCTGGGTAATTTCTGCTAATTTGTTATTAAAACACTAATTCTGAGCTAAATCAAAGAAATGGATTCTTGAAAATCCTATGGCTATGTGCTTTCTCTTCGGTTCATGTATCTGAAAAGCTTTGCCTGTGTGGGGAAATGAATTTTCTTCCAGCTTACACTCTGCAGGATATTCTTTTCTCAGTCTACAGAGAAATAGCTTAGTGACTCCTTACTAGACTGGGTGTAGGGGAATTCTTTCATTTTCTTCCTTCGTTGTTAGGGGGAGATGATGACAGCAGAGTTCTGCATAAAAAGTTAGGACACCCATAAAAATTTGTCGTGTGTAAATAATGAAGTAGAAGTAGAATGCAGTAGAGTCCTTTTAGAGAACACAGAGAAGAGCATATTGTGGTGCAAGGATTCTGTAATAGGTGCCAAGATCTGGAATCTTGGTTGCTTAACTACAGTTTTGGGGAAATTGAAAGATCTTGCTGAGGTTCAGAAATTTGACCTGAAAAATGAGTTGATTGGATTAGATACCTTACCTGTGTTTTTACCCTTTTTTTCTGAGATATCTCGTTTATTTTACAGCCCGTCTGTGAGTTTGAGTCAGTCTACCAGACTTAATTTCTTAAAGTAAAAATGTGTGTGTGTGTGTGTGTGTGTATTTAAATCAGAAGCAAAAAAGCTGGGCATGGTGGTACACGCCTGTGATCCCAGTACTCAGGAGGCTGAGGCAGGAGGATTCTGAAACCATCCTGGGCTACATAGTAAGTTCAGAGTCAGCCTGAACTTCAAGCAAGACGCTGTCTCAACCCCCCCCCCAGCAAACAAACAAACAAAAAACAAGACAAAGAGAAGCAAAAGAATCCTTGGTACTTGAGAACAAGAAAGAGAAAAAAACTTGTGTGGCTCAAGCTCTTCCCTTCTATCTCTGCCTCCACTTCTGTCTCAGCTCCTCATCTGACCTTAAAAATAGAAACCTGAAGGAACAGATATCATGTGTATAATCTCTACTGGTTTAATGTCTCATTTGACTTTCTTTCTGTGTAGTTCTCTTAAATAGTCTTTTGTGCTAGTTGACACTTTTATAAGAATAGTTTCTAGGGGAAGAGAGAAATGTTAGTCATTAGGCTATAACCCTAACCTTGTGTCTGGTCTGGTAGATGTTTAGCAAGTGAAAATGGTGTGAGCTTGCAGCCGGGCTTGTAAGGCAATGTGCCAGGATCCAGGTGTTTTTCTCTCTACACTCTCTCCTCTCAGTTGATTATACAGTGTAATGAGAGTAAAGGAGAGGTAATGTTCAGTATGAATGATTGATTGTCACAGAATTTGCTCTTTCAATTTTTCTTATCCATATAGTGAATGGAATATAAAGAGGAAAATAGTTTACAACTGATTGTGAGTGTTCACTAGATGACTCATTTGAAACCTGACTTAATCTGTTTTCTGTAGCTATAACAAAATTTGCCAGACTGGATAATTTATAAAAGAAAGATATTCATGTAGCCCACAGTTCTGGAGCCTGGAAGACCAAAGACAGATGGCTGCATCTGCTGTGGGCCTTGTTTTGTGTTTAGGACACAGCAGAGAAGCAGAAAGGCTAGCAGGTGTTCAGAAGAGGCAGAGGGCAAGGGGCAGCTTCACTTTATAACAGCTCGAGTTTGCAGTATCTAATCCAGTCCTCTGAGGATAAAATTTACTCTTGTAAGAATTAACCTAGTCCCTGAGAACAATATTAATCCTTTTTTGAGGGCCCAAATACCACATAAAGTTCCCACCACCTCTCAACTCTTACACTGGGAACCACATTTCAACCTGAGTTTTGGAGGTGACAAAAAAATATCTCCAAACCATAGCTGCCAAGTAGTGCATTGCCGTAGGGTAAGGTGGCCTTCTTTGTAGATAGTAGGTTTTTTACAGTATCCATGAACAAGCACCATAGGAAGACGAGTCATTTTGTGTATTATTCTTTTTTTTTCTTTTTATCAACTTTAGTCAAAATATCTCACAACTAGAACAACCCACAGAGCCATTAACAGAACACATGAATTGTGATATGCTCCTACAGTGGAACACTACACAGCAATAACAAGAATCAAATGGTAAATACAGTAGCATACACAAACCTCAAAACATTATGTCAAGTGAGCAAAACACAATACTCAAAAAGTAAACCCCCATGAGTGGATTTATATAAAGTTCAAGGGCAGAAAAAATTCACCCATTTGAGAAAGGCTGTTACAACAATTGCACGGGTAAGGCTGGGGGAGGGTCTTGACTGGGCAGTGGCAACACTTGTATAAACATAGGTGATTATTCACTAAACCGAATCTTTTAGGTTAGTGGTGGCGGACCTTTTACACACTATATATCAGTACAAAGAATTTTCTAACAGGAAATACACACAATAGGCCAACGATGACACTGACTATGGAAGGTGCTGTTTGAATATGGACACAGTGCTGCTCTGGCTGGGGATCAGGGTAGATGCTCCTGACTGGGAGAGCCAGTCTTTAGTGTTCAGGTTTCTAAGGAGGGGCTGACTCCTGGGGCAAGGTGAAGGTATACATTGAGCACCATCAAAAGCAGCAGGCTTCTTCCTTCAAAACCTCGGGGCATGCCACCTTCCTAGCCCATACCTCCCACCCTGCAGCAGAAGCTCAGACTGGTGGCTCACCCAGACAGAGATGAGTGGTCCTTGCTGCCAACAGCACAGCAGCAGTATGGGCAGCTGGGCTTTTTAGAACTCCCATTCTGCTTCTTTTTGAATATTTTTGGGTTGAATTTCACAACAGTCACAGCTTTCCGGTGACCCACGAAGTCCATGTTGGTTTTCCATCCTTCCCGTTCAATGATCTGGGCATTGGGGCCAGAGTTGTTCATGGCATGGGCAGATACCAAGTAATGCCCATCAGGTGACCAGCTGAGCCGCAGCGCATGGGTTGTCCCACCACACATCAAAAGGCTTGGTGATGCTGGTCTCTAACTGCCAGTCCAGTGTTCTCCACACCTTCAGGCTGCGGTCGTCAGCTTGAGAGGCAGTATATTTACCAACAGTGTCCCACGTCAACCCCTTCACCAAACCAGAATGACCTCTCAGAGTTGCAAGAATTTATGGGAACTTCACGGCGTTCCAGATGACGACAGTGTTATCCACGCTGCATGAGGCTAGCCAGGCATCATGGGGAGACCATGCTACATCCATGAGTGACTTCGGAGGATAGAGACACAACGCCACTGCTCCACACTGGCAAGCTTACCACTGGATCCAAACACAGTGCTGGGCCCAATATATGTAGCCTGCTTCCACACCATAATCAGTTTGTCATCTCCCCCAGAAGCTAAATACATCCCACTGTTTGAACACCGCACACAGTTCAAACATGCTAAGTGATTGTCCATCTGGCAAAGCATCTTGGGAATATTTTCATCCTTCTCATCATCCTCCTGGAGGACTGGATACATATCCTGATCAAAACCTTCCCAGAATCCTGCCCTTGTCCTCCAGTTGTGAACTTGGTCCCATCGGGATGAATATCAACTGAAAAAATTGGCTTGCCATTGTGGTTGACCCAGGTTGGCTTCAGAAGCTTCATTGTTCCGCCGCTGGCATGGGGCAAGAGCCGCGTCCCTCAGCGCGTCCGGGCCATGGAGCCACCGCTGCCACTTCCTCCCGCACTGCCCTCTTATCTGGCTGCCGCCCCCGCCCACCCTCAGGGCTGTCGCGCCAGCCGGCTCGCGCCCCCCCCAGCCCCCCTGCTCCCTGCTCCGCAGCTGCCACCACCACAGCCGCGTCCCCTGAGCCGCTCCTCCTCCCTGTGTATTATTCTTTAGTTGCTGTTCTTTTGGGAAGCATTCTCTGGCACCTAAGATTGGGTCTAGGGCCCAAATATGTAGGTATTTGTAGTACCAATCACGTACTTTTCTGGAGATCAGCAGTCACATTGTAATACTACATTGGACTTGGCATATGAACTTGGCACAGAACTTGGCATATGTAGGCTCTCAAGAAATATTTATTAATTGAATGAAAGGTAAGGTTATTAGACATGGATGGGCGATGGCATCATTTTTATGAATTTGAATCTTAATATATGGACTACCTTTCTTCATTCTTTTGCTTGGCCCCTTTCCCCTGTGTAACAGAAGAAATGGATCAGAAAGGGATTCTCATGATAGTCTGTGCATACAGTATGTCCATCCTACTTTTAAAGATGAACCACACCATCACAAGTGTGAGTACAGTCTCACTCTTCTAGAAAAGGACTGTATCATAGAAACAAAGAGTAAAAGAGTAGTTATCAAAGCCTGGGAGATGAAGAGTTCAGTTACACAGAATAAGTTCAAGAAATATATGGTGCACCCTGGTGACTATGGTTAATAATAATATATAAATGAAAAGTGCTAAAAGAATGGATTTTAAGTGTTTTTACCACAAGAGAATGATATAAATAAGTATGTGAGGTAAAGATATGTTATTATAGCTTCATTTAGTCATTTCATAATGTGTCCATATCCATTTCTACATGTCGACTAAATAATTAAAAAATTTAAAAGTGAGACAGTGAAATCATCATGATATACAATAAGTGAATAAATCACTATACATACAAACTAAAGCTTTATCTCCAAATATTTACTCACTTAAAATGATTTTTAATGTTTCAGGGATGTGTTTGCTACTTTTCAACAAGTTCTCGTCACCATACGAAATTTTATAACAATCCAGTGGAAGCTGTAAAAGACATCCCTGATGGTGCAACCATTCTGGTTGGTGGTGAGTGATCATATTGTTTTCCTTTTCATAGTAATGTCTTTATGATTTTTGCAAAGTCTGAAAAATCACAGTACAAAACTATCCACTTTTTTTTATCTGTTACATATTGCATTATCCTTTATTTTATAACAGTGTCCCCTTGAAAAATTTAACAAGGTTTTAACAATATTTAACAATATTGTAGTTTTTTCCTTTTATGTTTTCTTTTCCCATTTATTTTCAAAACCTGAAGCTTTAAAATATCGATGTCTTAATGGGAGCTTTGGAAAGTTCCTAAATTCTTGGGAATGTTTTTTTAACTTAAAACATTTATTGGGACTGGGGTTATGGCTCAGTGGTAGAGCACTTGCCTAGCATATGTGAGGTCCTGGCTCCCATTTCCAACACCACAAAAAATTATTCCTTATTTAGGAGATGGAAAGCATGGCACCTATCTGTTTTTAAGACCCCCAGCCTGCTGCACATTCTGTTGCTGCTTCTGTTTGTTTTTGTTTGTTTGTTTGTTTGTTTTTGGTACTAGGGATCTAACTTGGGTGCTTGCACTTGCGAGGCAGGTGGTGGAACCACTGAGCTAAATCCCTGGTGCTTGCTGCTTCTGTTGAGGTCTATTTTTTTTTTTTTTTGGTACTGGGGATCAAACTTGGGTCCTTGCGTTTGCAAGGCAGGCCACCGAACCACTGAGCTAAATCCCCGGCCCCTGTTAAGGTCTTTTGAAACCAGTGTTTCACACTCACTAAGCTTGCTGCCTAGTTCTTTTTTAGTATATGTGCTGCCGAAGTGAGCAAGTGCTAGTTCTTATAAATGGGATCAAGGCTTATTTTTAGGGCTGCTCTCCATTCATTTGTTCATTCATTCATTCATGAAATAAAAATTATTTGCTTAGGCTGTCATTTCTGCAAAATCTGTGTAAAATAAACATGCTCGAAGTAATTGTATAAAGTTTGAATTATAAGTGGGACAATAATAGGCCTGTAGCACAAGAACCTGTTGCACTTGACTTTGTGTTATGCTTCAAGGGCTTGAGAATGATGTGTGGTATCTGGTGCTATATAATTGGATAAAACATTGGATCCAGTTATTTGACCACTTATTGACTTACTGAGATATATCTGTGTACTTTGCTTGTTAGATTTAATAATGAGCTTTGTATTTTTTTGCTGTGAAGAGGAATCACATTTCCATGAAAAGACACTATGTTCCTTACAGACTGTTTACATTTTGGGCTTATTATAGGTTTTGGACTATGTGGAATTCCAGAGAATCTTATAGGAGCTCTGCTGAAGACTGGAGTAAAAGGACTAACTGCAGTCAGCAACAATGCAGGGTGAGTGTACATTTTTAAAATAAAAGAAATGGCAATTCTTTATAGTATTAAAACAGAGATTACCAATAAAATTTTTCTCCAATTATGTGAGCAGTATGTCCAAGCATCAAAAAATAGTGTTTCACAAGGTCAGGATTGGATGTTACATTTATTCAAATGATTTTAGTGTTTTTTATAATCATAAGCAAGGTAGACTTGCTTTATCTTATATAAATGCATACATTAAGATTTTATGTCTTTAGGTGATGTGCTTTTATTTTTCTAATTTTAAAATATAGTATAAAAGTTTGTGTATTTTCAAGTTGAGGCTTGAATTTTAAAATTTAAAGATGATGCTTTATGTTCTCTGTGATTTTAGATCATTATTTGTAAGGCAAGACGGACATCAATTTGAAATGTTTCAGTTGCTTTCTTTTGATTATGCCAATACTCTGGATGATATAAAGGATTATTAATCCTTAACTGTTAATCATTAACTGTTGTTGATTGTAGTAAAAGGTGGAGGGATTTGTGCTTGGCACAGTAGGATTGTGTGTCAAAATCACCATAAGCCATTAAGGTCCATTAGGTATGTTGGAAAAAATCTGTTTGTATATAAAATAGTAAATCATCTGCTCACTTTCAGTAATGAAGGACTTTAAAGATTGTAAAAGATTAGAAAAAATAGCCAAACTGGCAGTTTACCCTATAATTATTGATGCAATTGAGAATAAATAATATAAATTAATTAGAAAACAAAACATGTTCTTTGTTCATTTTCTGATTTTGTTTATGCAATTATTTCATCTGGAAGGCTCTCCTTCCTCTTTCTTGCCTATCTATATTCTTTTATCATTCAGGATTCACTGAAGTTACACATCTTCAAAGACTTATCCAAATAAAGAACTTTCTAGTTCTCACTGATGTTCTTTTCTCAGTTCTTTTAGAGACTTAGCTTTTTGTTTTGTCCTGAATTGTATTTGGTCTCTTCCATATA